AATCATCTGCCCTGGATGACAGGTGAAGTCATGACTTTGTGGAGTCACGAGATGCTAATTTTGAGCTGAAATTAAGAGTTCTAGATAACATTCAGAGATCAGCTCTTCATTTTCTGGCTGCAGGAAAAGATTCCTCACTTTCTCTTCATGTTTAACTCTCAATATTTATAATTTGTGTAAAAAGAGAAATAGACGATTTTCTTAAGAGTTGTAATTTTTATGGATTCTCATTTTCAAAATGTGAGCAGATAGGAGAACATACCGACTACCTGGACCTTCCTGCTACTTGAAGAAATTCCTGACTATAAAGAAACGTACTAAAAGCAGATCCCCAGAGCAGAAACGAGCTCATAAAGGATAGCTTGAGTCAGCAGTAAAACAGCTAAAAGTCGGTCTGCTATAATGACTTTTGACTTTCTATTGGTTTTCCTCCCTATATTTGCCATAATTATGTGACAGAAGCTCACACACCCATGGCTTCCTGAGGGGCCTCGAGGACTCAGCAAATGAGACCTTTTTATATCCTCAGACGTTGGCTGCACTGAAGCTTGGCTGCTGCTCCGCTGATGATACGCCGAGGATGACTCACGTAATGATCCGCGGTAAATCACAGCATTAAAGTCGCACAAAGCCCCTCCGTAATGCATCTAATTTAAACAGCTACATGTCTTTTTTTTCTTTTTAACTGGATTGTTTCACGTTATCATGTAAAAATTGCAGCCTGAGGAGGTTTGTTGTCTCTGATGCAGCTGAAGAACATGATGTAATGTAATATAATGCTGCATATTGGTGCGTATAGGAGGAAACATAATAAACAAAACATACAAGCAAAGAGACAGCAATCGTGGCTTTTAAACTAAATCAGGACACAAGTGTAGACAGATGTCTCTATAGGTATTAACGAAGAAAAAATGTCAAAGTACAAGTAAGATGTGTTTAATTGATGTTTGCTTTATTTCCCCATTGCTGACGTTGTGCCCTGAAGTCCTCAAGTGTATTCATACCCTTCCATTAAAGAAAAGGCAAAACTCACAATAGTCACTCAAATAACTAGAAACTGAAAAAAGTACTAATAAATAAAAATTTGCTAAATTATAGTTTAGTGAAATAAAACATTGTTTTTGAATTGTGGTTAAAAAGAATCAAAAAATAAATAATAATTTAAAAAAAAAAACTGTCCCAGACAAACTAGAGCACTTTGCTGATGAGCGGTGGGCCAAAGTCAAAGGGTTATTCAACAAAATATTACTTTGCAGGTCCCATCATGCTTGTTTGCTTGTTTTTTTAAAAAAAAATATTTCCGTTGAACCACAATTCAAAAGCAATGTCATGATTTTCATTACATTTTTATTTATTATTACTTTTGTCAATTTTAACTTATTTCAGTGTCAGCAGTGTTTTTCCCCTTCTTTAAAGGGAGGGTTTGGATAAACTGTATGTATGTCTAAAAGTAATAGTAATGATTGCAAGAACAATCTTTTTCTTTTCTTTAAAGATTTTTTTTATTCTTGCTTACCTACAAAAACAACCACAAAAAACTGCAGTTCATCAAATGGCCACTTGAGGCAGCCTCCACAAGGGAGTCGATCCTCATTGACCTCCATGTTAAAATGTCCAACTTTACAGCAGAAATAAACATGTTTACAACCTGGTACAAAACATGGTTCTGGTCTCTACAGCTAATTTCTCTTTTAATGATAATTGTTGGGGGAGTGTTTTTAAATATAACTTTACCATTTTAATTGTATTAAGGCATAAAATTAATGCATAATTAAAGGTGTGGCTGCTTTTAGTGATGGGTGGGTGGAAAAAACTTTAATTGTATTTCAAGAATGTGTCAGCATGCATGATTGGCTATGAAGCTTTGCTATTACATCATATAGGATGTATTTAATGTTTCCTGCACTCCCCATATAATGCTTTTCACATGTACAGCACATTATCTCCATATTCACCTGATCTGTTTGTTAGAATGACCATTATTTATCTATTTCTGCTAATGTTTAACCATTTTATTGACTTCTATCCACTCAGTTTGTTGGGATCTTATTGTTTTTTGGAGGGTTTTTTTTCCTACAAACTGTACAAAGTTCCACTTTTTGCAGTTTGTGTGCTGCATAAAAAGTATTGTCAGCATCATCCACACAAACGGACAACCTTCTGTTTAATGATATTTCTGGAGTCAGTGTGATCCCGAGCAGAAGTGATTTTCAGTGGAGCACTTCAGTTTGAAATATGCTTTACAAGTTATTCTCATTATCCCTCAGTATCAAGCTGATTTAACAACTTTTAGCACATTCTCTGGGCTGTTAAAGAGAATTACTGTAACACCATCCTGGAGACAGATGCACCTCACACATTTGTACAACTCTGCCATTTCACATTCTTCACCCACTGCTATAAAACGTAGTTCACCAGCAGCCTGTGGTGCCAGGATTGCAGGATAAAGAATAAGAAGAGCTGGGGGTTTTTGGCACTGTACTGCAGGGAATGTTTTAGAAAAGAAAAACAAGCTCAATGCATCAGGGCTGGAGAGGCTTCAGAGTTTGAAACAACACAATAGACTGTAGGTATAGGCAGAGATTTTTCTGCTTTTGTTACAGAGAAGAAAATCTATACGTTGCTCCTCAGACCTTGACAGCCCAATCAGCCTTATTCAACATAAACTCTGAAAAGGCTACAACAGAACAATCAAGATGGTTTGACCTGTAAAAATCATGAAAAACAAGCTGTCAGGCACTGAAATAAAAATAAAGATCTGTACAGTTCAGTCTTTTTCAAGTGTAAATTAATACATTTAGTGTGATTTTACAGGATAATATCTATAATTTAAGATACTATAAGATAGGACAAACTTTATTTATTCCTTACAGGGAAATCGAAATGCTTCAGCAGCTCGATAAAAATGAAGCATAGTAAGAAACAAGACTTTACAAGAGTACAAAAGTACAATAAGAATAAATCTAAAGATACAATAAAGACTATTTACACCTTTAGAAATATGGCATGATGTGTAAAGACCAACAACAACAACAACAACAACAGCAAATGAAATTAATGGAAAATATCTGAAAAAAATGTATAGAATTTTAGGTTTTTTAAATGCAGTTACAAAAATAGTGTAAGTTTGCAATCAAATGTTATTTATATGTTATCATTTGTAAAAATACACATTTTTAAGGTGCAAAATATTGACCTATTTTGTTACAATCAACACATAAGGTAATTCCTTTTTTCCTAACATCTGTAATTTTAAAGTAAAAAAAAACAAAACAAAAAACATTTTCTCACATTTTCGTCCTTTATATAAGATAAGATAAGCTTTATGATCCTTCCAGGTTAAAGTCACATGTTACAGCAGACAACAAAGCAAGACAAGACAACAAAAAGGAAGCATAGTAAGAAACAAAAGTACAATAAGAATAAAAATAAAGATTAGAAAAGACTATGTACACCTTTCACATTGACAGGCATGATGTACATACATATGGACATGTACAAATAAAAAAACTTTCAAATAAGAGCAAATATTAGTGAAATTATATACATATTTTTTACTGATATAAATACTTTTTTTAAAAGTGTAATTTTACGTCCAAATGTTGCAAATGAATTAATCACCATTTGTAAAAATACAGATTTTTAAAAAATTATTATTTTATTTATTTATTTTAATATGGACATTGTGTGCAGTTTTGGCCTGTTTTTATAGTCAACATGTAAATTAATACCTTTTTTTCTTTGATTTTACAGGATATTATCTGTAATTTAGCAAAACAGAGTCAATCAGTAAGATAACAGCAATTAGTTTAAAAAAAAAAAAAAAAAAAAAGCTACAAACTATTAAAAGATGTTACTTGCTTCCAGTGTGGCAACAGACTGTTGGATTGTGGGACTGAAGTGTTTGGACTTTTCCTTTTACAGTGACTCCGAAGGTGAAATGATGCCTCATCCTGCTGGCTGTCTGCGCTTGGACCTCGGTCATACATCATCTCCTGCTCTGTCCCTGGGTTACACTCTGTCCACTAAAGCAGAAATACCCTGAAATGTGCAGTGCTGCGTCTGGTCAAAGTGGTTATGACCCCCATTACTGCGCACACGCAGGGCCTGAATGCCACCAGATTCATGTCTCCTGCGCTCTCAGTGAATTTCACAATTTAAAATCGCTCCACAAAACTGTGTTTTCTCTGCCCTTGGAGACCTGCTGACATTAATCTGACAGTATTTTTAGATCGTAGGCAGCCACAGAGAGGTGAGTTTTTATTAAACTGCTATGTAAATGCAGCTTTAATCGTGGGATTTACCCTTCAAAGCCTTAAAATATACAAATCAGGGATGTCTTTGCCTAATGATGCGCAACAGTTTACTCTGCTGTGACATAACGATGGTGGGAAGCTGCCTGCGCGTTATTGTCACGGCTCTGTCATCTAATATTTTGGGTGAATGCGCGTGTGTGCGAGAGGGTGCGTGTGCGCGCGGTGGGTCTAGCCATTTTGCGCGCCACCCCTCAAACCAATGCGTGTGCACGAGTGTCCGCAAAGACGCCGCTGCTGCTCCTCTCCAGGCGCGCAGTCCAGACCGTCCACAAACTTTGATGAGCTGTAACCTTCTCCGCCGGGCTGAATCATAACTGGGAGGATTTATCTTTTATTATTTTTTATTTTTTTAAGCATATATATAAATATTCCAGGCTGCTAATTCTGGCTGATCAAGGTGAGTAACCTGCGAGCTTCACGGTACAGTGATGTGTTTCCATTGTGCGTATTTTTTCGCTCCGTGTGTTTTGATCTACAAGTGTCTCCACAGCCAAAGTGTGCTTGTGCATCTGTAATATATTTGCATCAGCTTGATTACATCTTTTTTTCGTTTTCATGAGGAATTAACTGTTATTTTTGCATGCGTAATTGTGGCTCAGTCGTGCCAAATAGCGCCTTTTTTCCACTTTAAAGTCTCAGTCTGGAGTTTTTTTTTTCTCCCCCCTCCTACAAACAGGTGTCAAAATGGAAAACGCTCCGGTAGAAATTTACAAAGAAGACAATAAGTGCCTCTCCACGCTGCTGGAAGACTGTCCGGTGAATTCTTCTGCTCCTTGGGTGTCCGGATACTCCGACAGCCGCAATGTGACCCACGATGATGACAGCTGGGAGCAGGAGAGCATGTCCCCCATCATCCCCATCATCACTGCGGTGTACTCGGTGGTGTTTGTGGTCGGCTTGTTGGGCAACTGCCTCGTCATGTATGTGATCATCAGGTAAGGTCATTTTAAAGTGAATATTACACCAGTAAACTCACATATTGCTCATATGGTGTGCCAGATACTAACTTGTGTTTCTGTGTTGAGAAAATATGAATAACTAGAGGAAGGGAAAGATATTTTTTGTGAAGACTTTGTGTCTCCATATTGTTGTTGATAAAGCACTGGCACCACCTCTGAGGATTTTTACAGTGAATTCTAAACTCTATGTGGCTGCATTTTTGTTCATGGATGCACTTCAGGTCCTTCTCAGGAAGAAGGTATGACTCTCTCAGCTCTTGCAAACAGTCAATGTGGAACAGAAAACAGGGTTGCAATCGGGCAAAGAAAGGGTTAAGAGGAAAGCTGTCATTTGTAATCCAACATTAGAGGGAAAAAGTTACAATAGGAGCTGATTCTGCCTTCATCAGACTGAAAAGTGCCCAAAACCAACCACTAACTCTGAAGACCTCCAAAATAAAAACAACAATATTCTGTAAATCTTCTCCGAGCCTGGCGGACCTGATATTAATTATAGTTGAAACCAGTGGTGCTTTGTCAAGCTGATAGCCTGCTTGCACCTCATTGAGCTTTATTTATGGTCTGTGAGGGCAGCAAATCTTATGTGATGTAATGTAAAGTGCAGCAGGGGCCACCCAGAATACTTCAGTCCATAGACAACAATTACCTCAAATCAGATAAATTGCTTCGCCTGTCGATAGGAGCCAATTTTATCAATTTGCTTCCAGAAAAGCCTGTATGTTTTATGGCATAGTTGCTCCGTAGAGGGCAATTCAGCTAAAGGTAGAAGATCTTTTATGTTGATGTAGTGTAAACAAATAGGTGGCATTACACTAATCTAAAATGTATCACATTTACACGGGCCACAGAGTAAATGTTCTACTTCAAGGCTTTAAAAGAAGCATCTGACACAGTAGTGCAAGTTTTTGCATCTTTTAGATACATTCTTTTGGTTTAACAAGTCGCAGCTTTATGACTATGATCTATTTTGATTCCCACTGTTGTGTCCAGCAGCCGCTGTCAGCTGATAAACCCACTTCATGCTACCTGCTCAGCATCTAAACAGACAAAGTTTGTGATGAACTAGCAGTTAAGAAGCCACATTTGTTTCTCAGGAGTTGATGGAGACCAAAACAAAAGAAAGATTATATTTGACTTTTGTACGTCATTTGAGCAGAAACACTAATGAATGGTATCTTGCTTTCTATCTGTTTGACGTAGAGGCAACTGTTTGCTCAAAAGTTTGCCACATATCAATGCATATGTTGTGTTTAAAACTTGCTGTACTTCTATCAATTGGCCAAAAAGTCAACTCCAAGGAAAACATTTCTGTTTTGCTGCTGTTAAATGAAAGAACTGATGCCACTCTCACTGTCATCCATTAAATATAAGCTCCAGCTAGTTGCCAGTTAGTTTAAAGGCAAACGTTTTGTTGATTTTTTCCCCCACATTTCACTGAAGAGATGCAACATGTCCATTTGCTCTTTCGTTGTGTTTACACTCTTTGTACAAAGCTAAGCAGCTTGCTATAGCTTCATATTTAACCACAGACTGTGGATAAAAGAAGGATGTCGCCTTTGAGTTGGACAGTGGAAGCCAAAGCTGAACAGACTTAGATGTGTATTCTTTATAGCAGCCAGCAGGGGGCGACTCCTCAAAGAAGTCTCATTGCATAGAATTCAATAAGAAATTGATCCTCTTTCTCACTTTATTTGTTGAGTCAGTGAACGTTTTCCAAATAAGATCATGGTCTCATTTGCTAGTTTGGAGTCTTCTTCAATACAGCATGATGTTCATTTAGTAAGCTATGGTCCCATTATGAGGAAAATAGATGATAACACAGGGTATGTTTCAAGGTGGGGTTACCTTATGATTAGCTAATTGCTATTGTATGATAAAAGCTGGCGACGGCCAAAATTCCAAAACTGACACTTCAAAATGTGTTTTTCCACGAACCAGCGTGACGTCTCATCCACCTTTTCTCTACAAACTATTTATTTAATGCAGACTAAAAGCATGACAGTGATATCGATCGTCTCATCTCACTCCCTGCAAGAAAGTGAATACTTCTAAAAATGTGGAACTATTCTTTGACTTTTTAAACTTCATAAAAATCTATAATGGGAGGAATTCATCAAAGAAAAGAATTTAAGTCTGACTTTGAGAAATGTACAGTCCACTATCAGCAGCCTGAACAGAAGGTCACCGTCGACTCGTTTGTTTTCTGGATGACAGTAGAAAAAAATCTTGCATATGCTGCCTGGTGCTTGCAGATTGCATTAAACGTGTACAAATATCCTTTTGGCAATGCCACAGGTAAAGATTAAAACTTTTAAATAAACTCTGGAAAAGTCACAACGCACAATATGCTATCCTAATTTAACAAAGTGTAAACAAGCTGATCACACATGCTCTGCATTCAGCAGCGTAGGCCTACTATACATAACAATGAAGTGTGAGTCAGAAAAATTACATTACAGATTCAGGGCAGCATTGCAGCCTAATGGACAATGTTTAATTCATAATGAGGCAAGAAGAAAGGTGTTCTCCGAGTCAGGATGCTAATAAATGCTGCCAAGGTAGTCTGGGTGGGCGGCTGGCTCCGGCTGCGTCTCCTGTCTTTGTTACCTCCGGACAACTTTGTGTTCTGCATGTTTAACAGGTACACAAAGATGAAGACGGCCACCAACATTTACATTTTCAACCTGGCGCTCGCCGACGCCCTCGTCACCACCACCATGCCCTTCCAGAGCACCGACTACCTTCTGAACACGTGGCCCTTCGGCGAGGTGGTCTGCAAGGTCTTCATCTCCATCGACTACTACAACATGTTCACCAGCATCTTCACCCTCACCATGATGAGCGTCGATCGCTACGTGGCCGTGTGTCACCCGGTTAAAGCGCTGGACTTCCGCACTCCCATCAAAGCCAAGATGATCAACGTGTGCATCTGGATCTTGTCCTCGGCTGCAGGGATTCCTGCGTTCGTACTGGGTGGTACCCAGACCAACAGCGGTGAGGAAGCGCTTCAACATGAAGTGTAAAAGTCTAAACTAGCTTGCTGCAGTTTTATATTTCACTGCAGACTTTGTAGCAAAAGATGGACACAGCCTCTGAATCTGAAAACTGAAGCCACCACTAAAAAAACACAAACCTGCATTCTTGCTATTGGCCAGTAGGGGGCGACTCCTCCTCCAAGAAGTCTGATTGTATAGAAGTTTATGAGAAAACGACCCGACTTCTCACTTCATCTGTTATCTCAGTGAACATTTTTCTAATGAAATTATGGTCTCAGTTGTTAGTTTCAAATCTTCTTCAACAGAGCACGGTGTACATTTTGTACATCATGGTCCCATTTAGAGGAAAATAGATAATGACGCAGGGAATCGGCTGCAGGGATTCCTGCTTTTGTACCGGGTGGTACCCACACCAACAGCACTGAGGAGGCACATTCACCATGAAGTCTAAAAGCTTCAACCAATTTTCTAAGCAGTGAAAGAACGCACTAATACATTTTTAAGCCCAGAAATATATTTTATCAAGTTCATCTCTCAGGGAAGAATTTTCCATTAGCCACACATCAGACACATCCTCCCTGAATACAGATGATGTAAGATAAGAAAAAAAAAAAGAGCTGAGAGCAAAGTGTTCCCTCATGAGTGCAGATTAGCAGTTTCATAACAGCATGCTAAATTGATAGCAGAAATGTGCAAAGTGGAATTTTATTTATGATAAAGTAGAAGTGCACTCTGTCATTCATTACACATCTTCTCCCTTCTTTCCATCCTGCAGACATAACTGAGTGTGCCTTGCAGTTCCCGGAGCCGTACACGTACTGGGACACGCTGATGAAGATCTGCGTGTTTGTGTTTGCCTTCGTCGTGCCTGTGCTCATCATCACCGTGTGCTACTCCCTCATGGTCCTGAGGCTGAAGAGCGTCCGAATGCTGTCCGGCTCGCGCGAGAAGGATCGCAACCTGCGGCGGATCACCAGGCTGGTGGTGGTGGTGGTGGCCGTGTTCGTGGTCTGCTGGACGCCCATCCACATCTTCATCCTGGTCAAAGCTCTCGTGAGCATCCCGGAAACCACCGCCATCATGGCCGCCTACTTCTTCTGCGTGGCTCTGGGCTACACCAACAGCAGCCTCAATCCTGTCCTCTATGCCTTTCTGGATGAGAACTTCAAACGCTGCTTCAAAGACTTCTGCCTCTCGGCCAGACTGAAGGGGGAGAAGGTGTCAGGAAGCAAAAAGGCCCTGAGCACCGTGCGGGAGGCCGCCGTTCCCCTGGAGAACCCGGACGGGACGAGAAAGCCGACATGACTAGCGGTGGAACTGTCTTCAATTTCCCACATTGGAAAAGAAGACTCACATGACCTGGGATTGACCCACATCACATCAGCAATGTAGACTGTGATTCTGACTCTGATTCACTTCATTTTCATCATCACCTGGGGTTAAACGGTGCCAAAACTGATTGATGGATTTCATTAAAGCATTCAAGGGAACATTTATAAATTGTATTCCACCTTCACCATGAATTGAAATGTTGCTCTCCTGCATATTAACGTCATCGTCCTGCCCTCAGCGCTTGTTTCCTTCAAGCAGCTGATCGCAGGCCGTGATAAAGATTGTATATTTATTATATGAACTTGCAGGTTGATGTAAAGATGACGATTAAGTAGGAAAAAAGGCCAAATGTGATGGAAGTATGTCTTCAACAGTATTTATTTTTGTTCTCCTCGACGGTATTTGTAATAAAATAGAGCTCACTGAACATATGGGTTATTTAGCTGCAATGATTAGCACATTAACCCTCTGAACCCCAAAACCCACCGATGGCTTTGAAAGGTATGAAACTACACCATTTATCAGAGCAAGAAACTGTGAAGCAGAAACAACTTCCTGACGTGAACAAATCATGTCCGACATGCCGTTCTGTCAGAAAACTCAACTAAATACAGGCTTAAAATTCTGCTATTTCTTTAAAATCACTTCATTCTGCATTTCTCACTTTAAAATCTGCCCAAAATAAACAGTTTGCATTAAACGGTGCAACCAGGAAGCTTTAACCGCGACCAGCAGTCACATGACAATAAACTTTTTAGGTAAACTAGGTTGAACTGCAGGCTGTGTTTACACGGAGCAGACAGAAGACAAGTATGGAAATATATTAAAAATGTAAGCAGTAAAATATCAATAGTATGTGGACACTTTGAAAATGTTGTACATGTTGATTTTAGTTCCAATTTTTTTAAAAAGAAGTAATGAAAGAAATCAAACTTTAGTTGTTTTTTACTTTTATGACTAACAGCATTATAACTTTTTATACAATACACAGAGGACATTTATGAGGTGTTCCCATAGCGGTGCAGGACTTTATATTACCGTCAAAAATGAGTCCACAGTGAATTAAATGTAAAAAGAAAAAAAAGGTTCAGAGGATTAATCTGCCATTATTGTGATACCTAAATGATAGGTCAGTTTTTTTTTTAAATCAAAAATGACAAACTGTGTCTTCTTTTTCATATAGGAATTTTTTGTCATACAGGAAGATGAACTGAATGTCTTAGTTTTGAGTTTTCTGACTTTTTTTTGGTAAAACATGAAATCAATTATTGAGAAAATGTTTGGCTCAATCATAGAAATAATCATAAGTCGTCAGATAATGATGTCAAGAGAACTGTTGATTATCTGAAGGGAAAACAACCAAGAGTTTAATGAAAAAGGTATTTTTCATTCATGACCCATGTCAAGTTTAATCAAGTTTTGATTTAAGTTTCTCTCAAATGTTACTTTTCTCCATCATTTTCTCCAGTATTTTATCTATCGCCAGATGTGCCTTTAAGAGTCCAGGATCAGACGTTTGTAGCAGCAGGGAATGATTTCAGGTGTGATGAGTGGGTCAAACAGCACTAAATGTATAAAAGCGCTTGTTTCTTTTTGTTCTTAAAACTGATTTCACATGTCAGTGGGAGCTGCATGGATCACTGACAACAGAGATGTGCCAAAAACCTTTTCACCTCTGCAAAGAGCGTGAACGGTGCTGATTGACCGCGGTGCGAGAGAACCGGCTCACGGTGGACTTTGAAGTTCAGTGAGAGTCAGTGGGAGGTTAAAACAAGCTGCATCAAAGCAGGTTCATCAACGAGTGAAAATCCTGGACTCGAATGTGCATTTAAAATTTGACAGAGGGCTCTCTATCAGCTTTGACTCTGGCGTCGTGTCCAGACTGATAAGTTGTTAAATTAATGGTTTGTAATTAATTAATCACGTGTGCTGCGTATGGCTTTTACCACAGCGCACATGGTCCTGCTGAACTGTCCTGCTGTTATTGCCACCGAAGACATGAGTAGCTGTATTACCAAGTTGTGCACATAGTTACATACAGTGTGTTCTGACAGCTGTACAGTCTGGTTGTAACATCCTTTATTTTGTATAGACTCCAAAAAAAAAAGAAGATCTTTGCACAGACATCATTGAACTATACTCTACTTGTAGCATGTCAATGATCATTGCTATGATAGTAAAGGCAACGTCAGCAGCCATATATGCTCTATGTTATTTTGAATGTACTGCAAATATATATTGTATTATATCGACATATAACTAATCCTAGTATAAAGTCATCGATCTCATTAGAGAACAACTTCAGCCAATATTTAATTATTATAACAACACTTGCTTAAAAAAAAACTACATGTATACAGACATAAAAGCAAATAAAGCACAGATGTTCTATTACTTTTCAAACAATAAGAGACATTGCTCTAGAAACTACACTGTGACCGAGGCATCTTTGCTTTTTAAAAAAACATGTTTTTTTTTTAAAGGTTTGTGCTCACTGTTTAAATCTAATCCTGTATATTGGCTTCGTCCGCCGTCATTCGAGCAGGACATGTATTGATCAAAACATCCTGTCTGTGAAGTGCTTAATATTAAAACAAGTTTAACAAATCCGCTTTGATTCTTTTCTCGACAAAGCTCATCTTGTTGTCAGCTTTGATTTGCTTACGATGGCGTCCTTCTGTGTTTGCTCGCCATCACTTTCTTTGGATGTGTCATGTTAAAGCAACACTGTTTGAATCTCAGTTACTTTTTGCACAAAGTTGAGCGTTGAGAGGAAGCTGCAGTCTGTTTTGCTGTAAGCCTGCTGCTCCCTCCAGAGGAAGGAACGTGTAATTACCAAATATATAATCTAAAAAAATGAAACCCTGCGATGATTGATGGCCTCGTTAACTCAACTTGGCAGGAGCAGAAGCTTCACTGCAGCCATCTATATTAGTGTTCACATGATTGACAGAAATCCTCTCAACAATACATCACTTTGCTTTAAAGTCAAACTGTTTCTACAGCTCATTTTGGGAAGAATTGTGTCCAAAATGTGAAGCTTTTAGACTAAAGTGAAAATATATTTAAGGCCTCCAGAGCAAAAATGAGTTGGAAGACTATTTACAAATCATTCTCTCACCATGTGACACTTTCCTGGCTTGAGGTTGTGCTAAATCTGCTGAACACAAACTAATTTCGCAAGATTTAAGTACAACATCGGCTAAGAAATAATGACTTTGACACCTCTATGAAACAGCCACAAGGTTAAATGATAAAACAGGAAAAACGTTGAATTAATTCATTCAGTAGTTGCTGCTTTTCCCGCATTACGTGTGTCTGGTGATGTCCTTACACGCTTTTATTTCCAATGCTTTTATTTAACTTTGATTTATTTCATTTTGAGTGTCATCAACTTACATCCACAAACTCTTCAGTCAATCACTACTAATCAAAGTCCCCTTAATTATTCATACAACTATATTATCATTATTTATCTTAATGTTTGTATTTAATTATTAAATTCCTATTTAGGACTTTTGCTGTTTTTAAATGTGCCCCTGCATATAAATAAATCAAATTATTACCTTCATGCTTTATAGCCAAATTCTCAAAATAAGTCATGTTTAATTCAGTCACTGCAGAAAATGTTCGGTGCTTTAAGTTTTGGGGGTTTGGGGCTCCCTGATGGTACCCCAGCCAATGAATAAAACAGTAATCTGTAACAGGATGAGTGGTCGGAAGGTGTTTGTGTGTCTTGTTTTGGCTTTCAGAAAGCTTTTCCTGGATTTTTTTCTGATTTTGCTTGAGTGTTTTTAAATGACTTTCTGAAATTACTTTCATTTGTTTTAGTCAATTTCTATTTTCCATTTGCTTTTGTCCTTTTGCATTTTTTTTAAAATGTGCACTGTGCATGTGAACAAAATTATGAAATCTAGGCATCGATACAGACAATCAATAACAAAAAAATCCTTAAATATATAATAGTGAATGATAAATGAACATAGACGTGGACACTCCTGATTGTCTGTGTTGAACTGTGACATTATACTGCCTGAGAAAATTAGAATAAATACATCTAAACAAACACAATGTAAAATCGTTTGAAGGTAAAGGGCATAAATAATGAGACTAAAGAAATAAGAAGCTGGGAAACAAACACATCTTTTATGGTGGAAAATAAAAAACAAACACAATAGCACCAGAAGGGCGTGTCCGAGTGTGTCACGATCATGTGACTCTTCTGACGTCACGCCGCGGTCTCTTCCGGGTGTTTTTCCTCAGCTGGACTCTGACAGCAAACAACAAACGCTGCTTTTTCTTTTACACCTTACATTTTTTTTTCAACCAACATGAATCGTATATTCGGTAAAGCATCCAAAGTTCCGCCACCGAACCTGACGGACTGTATTGGAAACGTGAGTATGATCCTGAAGAAACTTTTCGGCCGCTGCGTTGAACAAAGTAAACAGAGAAAGAGCTGCTCTGGGCTCGGCTAGCTAACTGCTAGCTAACTGCTAGCGACTGTATGGGCACAAAACAGGCCGTGGTTTTCCATTTGTTCAAATAAATGAGCTCAACATCGTATAAGTCAGCAGTTTGTCCGTTTTTAGTGTCAGTTCGTGATATTTAATAAGGCGTTTATTTTTACCTAACGTTATGTTTTGGCAGTGTGGGTCGATAAACAAGGCTTTAACCAGAACAATCAGTTCTGTGTTGAGGTCATTATGAGCAGCGATTTGAGACATTTCACTGGTATGGAGCACAATCCGTGTTATTCTGTGAGGCAGATGCCTGACTTTAACCTGTTAGACTGGTTGTCTGTCTGGGCAGAGCTATTGTTAGCCGCCTGGAGTGGAGGAAGAAACATTTTAAAGGTATAATGGCTGACAGTTAGCCTCAATGTATATGAGTAAAAGCACTTACAATTTAACAAGTATAGTAAAAGAAATGATATATGTTAGTAGGGTCTTAACTTTAGTTCTACATTAGTCGTGTTATTATCCACAGTTCATACTATTGAAGAGCCTTAGCCTTAATATTATTATCGTCAGGTAGAGTTGTCAGATTTACTGATCCCTCACCAGATCAATGGGAATTTAAATAACTTAGTTTTATTCTTAATATTCACATTACTCTGGTATATTTATACCATAGGTACCACTGTAGGGTCTTATTCTTTAATTTTTAACTTGTAAAATTCCTCAATGTGGGACTATTAAAGGCTTATCTTATCTTATTTAATGGTGTCAGGTGAAGTCATAACATCAAGCTTTTTTTTCCGCTGTAAAGAACTACGGCTCACCGATTTAAAATGTGCTGTATCAATACCAGTGACTTTACCTGTTTAATCAATCCATGCGTTGGTTAGACTATATCTGATTTTAAAAGACTCCTACTAAAATGATCTTACTGTTCATAATCAACAGTCACTTAAATGTCCTGTCCTCTGTTTCCACTTAAAGGTTGATTCTCGGACAGAGTCCGTTGACAAGAAAATCGCCAGACTAGATGCTGAGCTTATGAAGTACAAGGAACAGATGAAAAAGATGAGAGACGGGCCTTCGAAGGTGAGATTCATCGTCCAGTGCTGCTGGTAGAACAAAGAGTTGGTTGGATTATTTTCTTGAAATCCTTCGGGGTGTAACAAGCCAAGAACAAAAGTCGATTCAGCTCAGATATGAGCACAGAGTGAAGATTGATTTTATTGTAACAAACAGGCACATGAGCAGAGGAGTGTCCAAGTATCATAGTGTTTAAGTATATCATGGGTTATGAGAAAGGAAAGTTTAAGAAGAAAATGTGAGTTTTATGAGTATGTTAGTTTTTATGCTGCAAAATATGAGTAAGTAAAAATAAAAGAACTGATCACTAAATGCAGATCTTTTAGTTATTAAGACTGTGTATTGTTTGAAAACTATAGATACTGTTAACACTATGAGACATAAATTCAAACAATACTTTTTTTTATACCCTATTGTGAGAAATGTGGACATTTGCCTTTTTTAAAAAAAAAAAACTGTGAACATGTTCAAATGCTACCACAAGCAGCCTTACAGTCTTTTTGATGAGACAAAATACAGAAAAACTTAATTCACAAAGAATTTGTGAAAAAAAGAAAAAAAACATCAACAAAATATAAATTTTTGACACGCATTCATACAACACCTATATATTAGTATTAACACCTAGATGTATTAATTGGATAAATGCACCTTATTACTTGTCTTGCGCTTGTGTGTATTTCATGTTTCGTGTTCCACTGATGAAATAAAAAAAAAAAAATATTTAACTAATCTAAACTTTTTATTTTTCATTCACAAGAACATGGTCAAGCAAAAGGCGATGAGAATTCTGAAGCAGAAGAGAATGTAAGTGATTTGATTGTTAAAAACCTCTGTAAGCTTCACAAGTTTCCTTAATCTAAAAAAAGAAAAAAAGTCTGACTTCATCATTTTATCTTCCAGGTACGAGGGCCAGAGAGATAATCTCATGCAGCAGTCGTTCAACATGGAACAAGCAAACTACACAATCCAAACCCTTAAAGACACTAAAACCACAGTAAGAGACGAGAAACTGGGAATTTTTTTAAAAAATTACTAAAGAAAGCGTGGTTTGTGCTAACAGAAAGTTTCTTTTTAGGTTGACGCCATGAAGATCGGCCTTAAAGACATGAAGAAGGCATACAAGAACGTGAAAATTGACAAGATTGAGGTATTTGAGTTTTTTTAAACAAGTTTATTTCAGTAGCAGTTCCTTTAGTCACTAAATTTAATGTTGACAGTAAATAAAGATTGTTAACATTTTCTGGTGGAAAAATATAACTTCTTATTAACATGAAATTTACGCTTAAATGTTAAGTCAGTTTTTATAAAACCCAACAAAATACTTTGCCTCTGTTGCAAGACAAACATTTCCTTTCTTTTAATTCTATTTAGGACCTCCAAGACCAGATGGAGGACATGATGGAGGACGCCAACGACATCCAGGAGGCGCTGGGCAGAAGCTACGGCACACCTGACATCGATGAAGACGACTTGGAAGCAGGTGAGGGAAACACCTTCATGTCAGGATTTCACTGAGACATCATAGTAAATATACTATTAAGTCCAAAGCTGCAGTGGTCCTTGTAACACTTTATTGTGAACACTTCTGAATGAAATATTTACCACTGTGTCGTTAGTACTAGATAAGAATAATACTATATTAGGCATAATTTAGACCTGTACTATTGTAGATTTATAGATATTAACTTGTCAAGTGGTGGATTTGATTAAAAATATGTTTTCCACTAATATCCTGCTACACATGAATACAGTAAGACTTTTGTAATGTAGATTCTAACACTGTAGACCAAACATACTTGTGGTGAACCTTATTTTCATGCCGCTGATAGTTTATGAGACTAGATGAGCTTATAACCCCCCAAAAAAAGTCAACCAGTAGTCACCAGATATGACAGATTAGAGGTGACCTGTAACTGTCGCTGTGCCCACAGAGCTGGGTGCTCTGGGAGACGAGCTCCTGTTGGACGACGACAGCTCCTACCTGGACGAGGCCTCGTCTGCTCCCTCCATCCCAGAAGGCCTGCCCGGCGACAAGTCAAACAGGGTACGAACAGCTTCGGGAATTTTCACTAATAGAAGTTTTGCTGTTTAAAACAGCTGCCCTCAACAACAGGTATCGTTCTCTTTGTGTTTCAGGATGGTGTCCTGGTGGACGAGTTTGGGCTTCCTCAGATTCCTGCCTAACGGTGCAATCAGAACACACGACACGCTAGTTTTATATGCATCATAGGCTTTGTTTTTGTATTTATCCGGCTAACACTCCTGGCCTCAGAGGGCAGCAATGAAACCAAAGCTTCTTCTGTCCAGTGATAAACTGTAACTCATAATCAGGCATCTTTAATTAAAGGTTTTGATTATTATTCTTTATGTTGTGGTGATTGTTGGAATTGGGATTCTCTTAACTTTGTACAGTTTCTGCAGCACTGAGCTGCAAAAAAAACAACAAAATAAATTATATTTTTCAAACAATACATCAACGTTGGAGTCATTAAAGAATCATTATTTGTACAAAAGTCACTTTATTGTGGAGTTAAATATGCGGAAGTGCATAATCAATAACTTCTTCATTTAGCAGAGAGCGTTCTTAGCAAAAATAAATATGGATTCGTTGAAGCTAGAAAAAGCAGCAGAGCTCCTTGTAGCATCACCAGCTCAGCCTGTAAGTGTGAGGGAAGAGTTTGTGGTGCAGATAATTCACCACTTTGGACTTGTTTTTCAGTTTTTCAAATTCGTAGAAGGGAATCTAGAAAAAAGAAGAAGAAAAAAAACATTTATAAGTCATCAGGATACTTGACTTCAGGCTTTAGCGATCTAGACTTAACAAATCTAACCTCTGGGCAGATACAAATCTAGCAGAAGATGTCCACAGAAACACAAAGTGATGATGATGAGGGTCTAACCTGAATGACTTTATATCCCAGGAGCCGCAGATGTCGCTGCTTGATGGCCTCCCTTCCCAGCAGCTGCCTCTTGTTTGCCGTGAACCTCTCAGATCCATCAATACAAAGAGCTACCCTGCAGCACAGTACAGTGTCTGTATGACCATCCAGCTCCCAAAAATGAACTTCACATTTACTTACACCTAAAACCGCCCCTTTATAAACACACACAACCAGTTACCTTTTGTGCACATCGTCACTATTCCTGGCAGGCAGCACACATCCCTCCTTATCCAGTTTTATCTCCACATCTACAACAACAACAAAAACAAATGTTACAGCCTCGGTGGGTAAAACATTTGGACAACAAACAGCTGTAAAGACTCTGTTACCGAGTGTGTAGCAGTACGGTGTCAGAACTTTGGATGCAAAGTACTGACGGTCTCCGAGCAAATCCTCCAGTCCGGCTTTCACGGGGTTGTACAGGTGTGGATCCACTGGCGTCTCCAGAGAGGGACTGGACATGAGGAAGGACTTGACTCTGTGCTTTGAATGGAGTTTGGGACCCTGATGGAGAAAAAGACACATGAATACATTTACAATAATGAATTACAGGAGCCACCAGTAAGTAATGTACATTTCACTGGAATTGCCTTTTTTTTTGTTGATAGGTTGGAAGTGTGTTTTGCTCGTTTATGATGGATAATTGACAAAAACACACCAACTGTGATGCAAGCGCTCTCACAGGCCTTCAGAATAAAAGCATATCACCCTGCTTTGATTCCACTTGAAGCCTCTGGATTTTGAACTGAAAACAATAGACTACAAGTTGCTATGTGCTCACTTAAAGGGGATCCAAAGGAAACCTGAGTAAGTTTGAATTCTCTATATAATAATGTATGATCTGCACCTTATAATGTAAAGTGCTTTAAAATGACATGTTGGCGCTTTATAAATCAAACAGATTTTTAATAATGTGCGTTCATTACATGGGTAATACTCTTTCACGTGGAATAAATGTATTTACAATAGGAACAGAAACCTTGTATAAAGACTGTGTTACTGGGACTTCTTATATAAAGAACTGGGTGAAGCATTTATATAAAAAAATGTAATGGTAGATCTTGCAAGACAGGAAAGTTTAGGGTTTTATTAGTGTATAGGAGCAGATTTATTTCACGAACGAATAGGAACATTTATCATTTTAATATTTTTATTGTATTTGTACTATACGTAATGGGGGATAAAAGTCAGGGAGTAACGTTTTCAGCATTTTAACTGCTTCTGATGCTCTGCGATGTTGACAGAAGACAGCATATAAAGCAAACAAATAAAGTCGGATAATAAATTAGGATCCTTAATGAATAATTAAAGAATTCATAATGACTGGGACTTGGGGAAAAAACTAACTTATGTGAAGTCAAGAAGTTGACTTTTCTGCCGGCTCTTTGAAATAATTCTCACACTAACATAGCAAGTGCTGGTTTTATCACAGATGACTGAGACGCGCTGAAGCTGACACACTGATGACATGTTAAGGCAGAAGGTGTGTATTCAGGTTCCTGACATTGTTCTTTTGTCATTCAACTCTCACATTGTTTAACCATTGACGTCATTTTAAATACTTTACATTGTAGGAGGGACACTCCAGCTTCACAGTGATGTAGAGCTGAGTCAGCTGTGCCAGAACGGGCCGCTCAATTCCCGCATTCTGCCCTGCAACACGAAACACAACATTTACCTAAATCGTGTGTGCATGGAAAGGTTTTTGGACCTCTGCAGGTGTCTGGCAGCAGGTTTTACCTTGCAGCTGCTGGAGGAAGTAACTGCTGAAAACTTTTGAGAGGAAGTTAACGGGGAACCTCTCCACCAGGACGCAGGCGTGAAGCAGGTTGAGCAGCACTCGGGGCTCGAAGTGTGAAAAACGTGTGCGCAGGATGGTTTCTAATTTCCCAAACACTTGGCCTGCTTTGGGTGGGAGGTAACCCAGCCTCCCAAAAGCCACGATGTGCTTGGTCACTTGGCTGGTGCTGTAGTCGTCTGCTCGGTACACAAAACTCTCAGCGATGGCATCCAAGGCAGTTGGAGACAAGATTTTCCTGCGACCAAAGAACTGCACCACTGTAGAAACAGTCTCTGGGTGTGAGGTGAAGGCCATCGTAGGAACATGGTACTCCAGTGCCTTCACAAAGTAATGATCACTTTGACCAAAGTGCATTAGTGCCCCAAGTACATCGGTGAGCTCCTCATCGGTGAAGTGAGGAACGTGCCGCATGGCCTGCTTACACAGATTGATGACAAGAGGTATGGCCTGTGTCTGCTTCAGGGTTACAAGGGCGCTAAGCAGCCCGCTGACAGCAGCAGGATCCATATAGGAGGTGAATGTCATCGCATGGGTGTGCATGGCAGTCAGCAGGTCCCTGTACTTTACATCTTCACCCACGCTACCCTGCAGAAGTCTATAAACAGCAAGAAGGTCTGCTTGGCTCCACAGAGCAGGCTTCTGCCTCTGAATTTTCTCCATCACCTGCTCCAGCATCCCACTACCCGGACCCTCCATGGCCAACATCGCCTGACCGAGTGTACACAGCTTGTCCACACTCATTTTCCCCCTGTCCAGCCTGCTCTGGCTCTCAGACACCAACCGCACCATCAGCTTGCTCCAGGGGTCCAAGTAGAGGCGTGTGCAGGCCAGGAGAGCTGAAACCAGCCCGCCGTCCGTCAGCCGCCTAGAGTCCTGCTCCAGCTGGAAGCACAGGGCCCTGATGGTGTCCTTCTTCAGCACCGTGGGATCTTTCAGAGCGTTGCCCTCCTGCTCCAGGTCTGCCACACGGTGAAGTGCTGCTGCAGCCATGGTGTCAGACATGACCTCCATGGAGCACAGAAGTTTGAAGACCTGCCGGGAGGAGGAGCAGGTCTCCAGACGCTGCTGGAAGCTCTGCTCCTCTGCAGTCGTGGGCCGGTGCAGCAGGGTCAGCTGGAGCCGAGGGACTGAATCTCTGTGGAGGCCGACAGAGCTGCTGGCGACGAAGTACGGCTCCCTACCGATGGTGGTGGTCAGGCTTCTTGTCCCACAGTTTGACTGGAGCCTCACGCAGCCCTGTCTCCGGATGCAGCGGCCGGGTGATGTACACAGGCAGGCTACACACAAGGATTGACTGCTGGTGCTCAGGAGCCTGGCGGGTCCAACAGGGAATCGCTGGATCCCAAACTGCCCGAGCTGAGGAAATCTGTGGATAAGCTTCAGAGCCATGACAGGTCCAGGTCCCAGCTAAGACACAAACAAAACACCCCAAACACTTCAAAACAAGAAAACTAAAAAGGGTCTTCCTATAACTTAATGCCAAAACCACCACTATTTACCAAAACTCAAGGATATAACCTGACAATAACAGCAGTGAAGTACTCAGCCCCTCCTCCGTTAACTAACCAACCTTGAAGTCGGCTGCTAGCTAGCATTAGCTGTTAGCTTCCTAGCAAACCGACTAGAGTCGCGCTGCTGTTCTCATCTCTAACGTGTCATGAGGTTCACACGTTAGCTCCGAGTGATAAGAAATAACTGCAAAACAAGACAAAATAGATTAATATTCACACCTAGTTCCTCCGACAAGCTGCGCAGGGTCGGAGAAGCGCTCAGAGATGTTACCAAACGTGGTTCCGTAAGGAGCATGAGGCGTTCAGGACACCTCGGAAATTGGGCGTCTCTCAAGTATGACGGCAAATCAGTACAGGGTTTCACGCGACTTTTAGCGGGACTTAATGGTAAAACAGGTCTAATAACGCAAATATAACGGGAAGATTACGAAACTTTGAAGAGAAGAAAGTGCTAGTTTCACTAACGGAAGAGTTAAATGTTGACTCCATATAAATTGTAATGTCACAGCGCCATCACCTTACTTGACCTCGAGGATGTGACATGCGCTCTAATGTAATTGCCATTTTTTCCGGATATCATGGGAAGGCACCACAATGCAGTTTGTAACTTACATTAGACACTAGAGGGCGATATATATATTATATTAAATCACTGCATAATTTAAAGTTCGGGTTTCTTTACAGCTAATTAGGGTCCGAGCACCCAAAAGGGTGCGAAGACCCTATTGGAACTGCTCAGATTATTATTATTATTCGTGCCACAGACACGCGTTTTTGAGGCCCTAAACATACTCGAAAACTCACCAAAATTGCCATGTACATCAGACCCGGTGGAAAATTTTATAATTTGGAAGAACAATTCACACTTCAATAGAAAAATTGCTCCACAGCGCCACCTTCTAAATTGTCAAAAGCACATTTGGCCTAGAGCTACGCAATTTTGTAGGCATATAGAGCAGGTCAGGATGAATAAAAAA